TTGAAATCCTGTATTGCCCTCACCATCTTGTTTTGACTGATTTTCCCCTATTCTGCTTTGCTTGATAGTACCAAGTTACAAAGTATAGGCAAAACTGTAAAGACAATAAGATTTATTATGACGCCCATTCCGGTTGACTATTATCTTTTTTTAAAGTCCTATAATGTCTCCAATGCTTTGGTTTTATTCTTTACTGTTTAGTTCAATTTTATTATAACTGGCAATTCTTCTTAAAATAGCAAGAGACAGTATGGTAACCATTGTTGATCCCCTTGTATTTTGTTTTTACATTTTTTATTATGTCCATCCTTTTGATTTGACCCACTCTATTCTGATATGTCGCATTTGGTTTTACTCTCTTCAAAAAAATTAATAAGAACTGTGGGAGTAATAAAACCCAAAATATATAATTGTCGTTGTACAAAAGAAAAGAAAAGAAAGTGTTCTAAAGGTTATAATTGCATATATGTTTAAGTGTATAAGATAGATAACCATATTACTGAGTTTTTTTTGGATCACTGAGCAGAACTGTTTGCACTCTCACTGTTTGAAAGTTCACTTTATATGCTTCAATTTTGTAACTTGAACAACTATTTCTAAGATGAGAGTATGTAATCTATTAACTAGTGATTTCTTACTGTTTATTTTTAAAATTTTGTATTACTTGTACCCTTTTTCTGTTTTTTCCTTTTTCTCCTTAAATAAAAAAAACCCCAAAATATATTAAAATGACACTTACTGATATCTCCCCTAGCACTCTGCTTATGCTTAAGATAAATATCCTTTTTTACTCATATGGTTAGCAGAGTTTGAGGGAGTGAAAAGTTAAATTGTGTTGTGGTCATTATGACATTTTTTAAAACGAGGAGTCCTGAACCTTGTTTATTTTAATTAAAAATTGGAAACAGCTGCATCTATAAAAAAAGGACATTATTAAATAAATGAGGTATATGCACATGTTGAAATTAAAAATTATGGCTTAACAGATTTTTTTTTTGTCTTTTTCGTTTTTATTGGTACCAGGGATTGAACTCACGACTGCCTCCTTGCAAGGCAGGTGCTTATGCCGCTGAGCTAAATCCCCAGTCCCGGCTTAATAGATTTAATGGTGAAGAGAGATGCTCAGAATAAAAACTAATGGCAAAGTCAGAATACTAGAAGATTCTTTAGTCTGACCCCAATTCTCATTCATGTATCAAAATGATAATAGTACATTTGGATAGTGGATGGGATTCTAGCAAGTTTATTTTATTTCATTCTTTTTGCAATACAAGATGTCAGTCTTTTTGTGTTACTTTCATAATCAGAAAAATGATAAAAATCATATGACAGTTTTCCTCATGTATAATTTCTCAGAGAGCAAAATCCTTAAATCTTGACTATACATGCTTTTGTTTGCGAGTGAACAAAGCAATTAACAATTTGATCATTTTGCTGTTCAATTTCCAGATTGGTTGATTACATTTTTACAGAGACCCTACTTTCCCATAATTCAAATTATTAACAGACTCCAAGATGCCATTTCTTCAGGGACTTATTGTTGCCTCCTGCCATTTTCTTGATTTGAAAGAAGGGGTGGAAGGGTTGTGGAAAAGTCTTCATAATTAAGCAGCATTAACACAAATATATTTTTTCAGCCATCTTCTTTATGTGTTCAGCTTTGTGGAACTGAGTATGGAAAGCATTCACTTTTCATATATATTAAATATTATAAATTATATTCTCAAAAGTCCCTGAGGTATACCTAACAATAACACTAATACTTTCAAACAGCATGACCAAGGCAGGAAGTAACATCCCTAAATAAGACAAGAAGTTCTGCTTCAAGCTTCACCATAGGACATTTCATTTATTCTGAATCTGTGTGCATTGACTTGTTCATTTCTAGTTTTTCGGAGTACAAGCCCGTCTTCTGAATTATAGAGGTGAGAGTACTAACATTTTTGTCTAGGTTGTTACGTTTCTTAGCTCAAATGAGAGAGGACATCCATACTCAATTACCTTAAATGTCACGATAATTTTGTTTTTTTTTTTTTTCTCCTCCAAAGTCTACTGCCCTTGAACATAACTCCAAGCCTCCTGTCCTGTTCTTTAAGGTTCTCTATTGCAGACTGTAAAGATAATGTCAAAGGAACAATGGTCTTGAGGGGATGGTCAGAGATAGACTCTTTTGTCTGAAAGAGGAGGAGGATATAGAAAAGAACACAGAACTTCAGTGGGACAGGGCTTGGCGTTTTCCAGGAGCAGAAGGAAAGGTACAGTGACTAAAACACATGGAATAAGAGAGAATCATAGAATTCAGACTGAAAAAAAAATTGCAGCTTCCTACTATGTTTTGGTTAATAACTCAAATCTCTGACTTGACCAATTTCACTGCTCTTTAAAGTTTTAGTCCACAGTGGCAGAAATTCAAGGAGAATAAGAGAGGGTGAGAAGGTGCTGACTTTTAGGGAAGTAAACTATTGTTTTTATAATACTGTCATGGTGGATAGTCAGTATTATGCTTTCGTCAATACTTACAGAACTATTCAAAACAGAGAATGACCATTAATGTAATGTATGAAGTTTAGTTAATAAAGATCTATTAATATTGGTAGCATTGCACTGGCTCAGTAATTACAACAAATTTACACTAATGTAACATATAAATAATGTGTTTGGGAGGGGGGTAGGCATATGAGAACTCTGCATTATACAGTCAATCTTCTGTAAATCCAAAACTGTTCCATAAGTCTAGTAAACAACAACAAAAAATTTTGATCCAACAGCTTGTGTGCCTAACAGTGAACACTCCTGCGTGCAGCACTGGCTCATCAGGTGTACTCAAAAGCAGATAGGAGGGAGGCAGGGAGGTGTGCTCAGATTCTAGGATGGAAGTTGATCTCAGCAGCTTTCTCTGTGGACAGCTGAAGACAGCATTAGCCTCAAAGTTATTTCTTACCTAACTGCAGGATCTCCCTACTCTAGATTTAAATGAAGGAGACGTTTGGGGATTATCAGAAAGTAACACGATTCATTCAGTATGCACTTAACCAATTTGTGAGAAATTCACATTTTTCACCACACATGGGATAAGAGAGAATGAGGCATGGGGAAAGAAATGGTTAAACTCCATCAGGAAAAGTGTAATGTCTAGCTTTGTTCATCATTGTATGTTTGGAGTCTAGTAGGGTGCTTGGGACACGCCAGGTACGAAAATCATGTGGTGGTATGAAGGAACGCATGACTGATACCAGGGCTGAGAGGAAGTAAAGAAGAGTAAGTCTGCACTACTAGAAAGTAAGGAAGGGATCAAGGAAATCCATGGAAGTGCTCAGAAGATACAGGATCCAGCTCCTGGCCAAATATTGAATACTGTTAAGGATCAAGATACAGACAAAACCCACTGGAACAAAATAAGACTCCATGAGGCTGAATGGAGAATGTCTAGAAAATAAAAATGGTAAGAAGAAGGCCTTTACAGGATAATTCAGATAGATAAGTGTACATAAAACAGTGGAGCTGGGAATTGACTTTCCATTTTTCACATTCCATTTTTAAAGTACCAAAGTGAAGAGTGATTCAGGCAAAGATCATCAGTGGGTGCTAAATACAGGGGGAAGAATGTGATGAGGAGCAGATGTTTATATGTTCCCAATATGACTACTCGTAGATTGCTTATTAGCTGCAATGATAAATGCTATCTAATAACTTAGAATAAGTGCAATATAAATGGAATATATGATTTTAGCCTGAATGTTGCACCTGGAAAAAAAAAAGTATTTTGAAGGACTTTGAACAGTTAACAAAATGGGAATATGGACTTCTTTGATAAAAGATTTCAAATCAATGTGACATCTTCTGGACTTGATAGTCACACTGTAGTTATGCAAAAGAATAGCTTTGTTCTTAGGTAACACACACTGAAATATTAAAGGATAAGAGAGTGTGATATAGTCCAAAAGATCCAGAAGGGAAATATGAATAGTACACACACATATACACAGACACAAGATACAACAAATACTGTAAATGTAAGCATCTATGTCTCTGTGAAAAAGGTATTATGATCTCTATTGGTATTTGTAACTTTTCTGTACTTGAAATGGTTTCAAAATCAAAAGTTAATGGAAAAAATAACAAGTATGTAAAACAAAGCAAAATAATGTTAGAGAGGGCATGAACTGATTACTACTACTAGTCAAATCCTGAGAGAAAATGAGATGGCAGAAAATTCATCAGTCAGAACAAAAAGGCAGAAACTAAAGATCAAACAAACAAACACATCTACAGGAACAAAAATACTAACTGGAGGACACAGGCATAAAGAGAACAGAATTCTGTGTAGCTGAAATACATGGAACTATGGAGATAAAATCAACGATAATAGTTGGGACAATATTGTGAGGGGCTCTCTTGAATGTCTAAGAGCAGAAAACCAACAATAAGTACGAATTCAAACTATATCATAAATAATGTGTCTACTCTGAATATGTGATAAAATACAATAGGGGACATGGGGAAGGTATTTTAAAACATGAGTTTAGAAAACATTATTTCCAGCTGTTTCTAAATCCAAAAAAAGCCAGAAGTTTTAAATAGGTTGTTCATATATTTAATTATAAAACTAAAACTCAAATATGCTATTCTAAAAAAGAAAGGCTGTGTGTGCTAAGCAAGTCATTACAGTGAACTCTGAACCCAGTTCAAACACCTTCAGAATTTCTATTTTAAACCACTATTTGTTGAATTACTGAAAAATCATTTGAAAAAGGTCTGCATTTTCTAATCACTGCCAGTTCTTTCTTTCCTCAAGGTATTTCAGGATTGCTCAGTCAATCCTTTTATTCGGCTTTCAAATGAAAACCTGATTCTCATCTTCTGTCTCCTCTCATTCAGCTGGGAGCTACTTTGCTGCATGCAAAATACTTAGGGCTGCCAGCTGTACACCACTCCTTAATGTTGTAGGCAAGCAGTGCATTCCTGCTGGCCCTTGCAGGAGCCAGCGGAGGCGTGGGGGTGTGTTTCACGTATCAAAGGTAGCTGTAAACTCACAGGCTAAGCCTGGCACAGAGGCCAGGAGGCATGGCCCGCAGGAGGAGGTAATTGGTAGCATTATGTTTCCCTCGAACGAAGAAGGTAAAAGCCAGATTAGAAAAGGTCAAAAAGAGACTAGAAGGAAAGAAATTTAGGGGTACAGGTGTGAACTTTGGGCCAAGAAGCATTGCTTAACCAGAAGAACAAGGTTAAGAGAAGTAATCACAGCCCAAAGAGGCACCAGGCATGTGGCACTCTGTGGGCCGTTCATAGTTCAGTCTTGGCAAGGTGAGAGACATGCGGAGAGCTGGGGGCTGAAAATGAAGGTTTTCAAAGAGCTACCGATTATGAGACAGAGATGGGAAAATCAGACCTGGAGAACTTGGATCCAACAGAGTGTAATAAGAAGGGCATTTAAATCCATATATCAGAGTGGCTAATGGATTAGAAGCTGTGAAAAGTACAAGGGGGAAGGATAAAAGAGGCAAGAGTGTTACTAAAGGAAAGGAAACAGAGACAGGCTTCCAGGAAGAAATATTTTATGTTGAAAACAGTCACTAAGACACCAAAAAGAGCTCCACACAATGTGCTTTATAGTCGCCTATAAGATCTGTTATTGTTAAAAGTTTTAGTCATACAATATTTGTTTCATAAAAGGCTACTTGGATTGGTTCCCTATCTTTGCAACTGTTGCTAATCCTACAGTGAACCTAGAGTGTAGGAGTCTCTTCATCATACTGACTTCATTTCCATACTGGTTGCATCTCCAAAAGGAAAAATGGAACTTCTGGACCACACGGTAGTTGTGTTTGTTATTTTTTGAAGAACGTCTTGTTTTCTATAATGGGTATACTAATTTACATTCCTACCAACAGTGTATTGGTATTTCTTTTTCTCCACATTGTCATCAACACTTGTTATATTTCGTCTCTTGGCCAATAATCATTTCAACAGGCATGAAATGCCATCTCCTTCAGGATTTCATTTGCATTTTCTTGATGAGCAGAGATAGTGAACGTTTTTAAGTATACCTGTTAGGCATTTGCATATCTTCTTTTGAGATATATCTTCTCAGATCTTTTGCCCACTTTAAAATTGGATTATTTGGTTTTATGCTTTGACTAATTTGAGTTCCTTGTGCATTTTGGATACTGACAACTTACAAGGTATGCAAATATTTCTCCCAGTCTGTAAATTACATCTTCACTTTGTTGATTGTTTCCTTTGTTGTGTAGAAGCTTTTTAGTTTTATGCAACTCCATCTGTCTATTTTTGCTTTTATTGTTTGTGCTTTTGTGGGTCCTATTTAGGCAGGATTTCTGTGTTAGTCTTTAAGTAGAACTCCTTCTTTGTAAATACCTGAGTCTTTGCTCTGAAGGCTTTCAGCACATTATAGTGGAGTGTTAATCTGATTTAATTAAAATCTGTTTTTCTTATTTTTGTTGTTTAAGTCAGGATCTCACTTTGTAATTCATGCTAGCATTGAACTTACTATGTAGCCTCAGCTGGCCTTAAACTGACGATGATCCTCCTTCCTCAACCTCCTCAGTGCTGCGGTTACAGGCATTCACGACTATGCCTGGTTTAAAATCTACTGTATATGTGTGTGTCACTTTAGTTCATTATTGCTCACTCACCATTCCATTATTTTGGTATTCTCTTGTCAATTGGCACTTACATGTTTCATTTCTAGAGTGATGTGAGCAAAGCTCTAATAAACATTCTCATGTATGTTTCTTACACATGTAGACAAGAATTTCTGAAGAGTGCAGAAATGGAATTGCTGATTTGTATGCTATGTTAATTTAATGTTAATTATGGACTAACATGATTGTATCAACTTACAGTCCTTTCAAAACTGTAGAAGAGCAGAATTGTGGTTTTCAGTATTTGATTTCTAAAAACGGGTTTAACTATATGAAGAGTCCATTTCTTTTGATATATTGACACTTGTCCACTCTTGCTCCTCCTTATACCTTCATATTTATCACCAGACTATTTAGACTGGAATGGGAAAATAAATGAGACAAGCAGTAATTAACGACACCATAAGCCTCTCCATGCAGTAACTATTGAATGCCTACTATGTAATCAGCACTATGCTAGGCATTGAGCAGGGTATAGAGTTGTGGATGACCTCTAAATGTGCCTTCATACTTAAATTCTGGAAGTGAAATGTATAAACAGGAAATTACAAACAGCGCTAAAATAGAACAAGTATAGAGTACCACGTCAGTACACAGAAGGGGTACTCACTCATAGCATTGAGGCTGAGAGAGTATTTTATGGAATCATTTAAATATACATGGTAAACATAATATAGGCATGGTTAGATAAGGATAGATGTATGCATGGGTACCTATGTGGCATTATATCACTACATAATATTTGAATTGCAATAGAATGTCTATGGGATCTATGCTAATCTTTCTCCCTGGGGTTATACATGACAAAATTCATATATTAAGAGTCACAGTGGTCAGTTTTGTGTATCTACCTGACTTGACTATACCAGATGTTGGTAAAATATCATTTCAGGGTGTGTCTGTGTGGGTGTTTCCATAAGAGATTAACATTCCATCAGTAGACTAAGCAAAGAAGATCACCCTTCCCAATGTGGGTGGTTGTCATCTAGTCTGTAAGGGCCTGAAAGGGATAGAGTAAGACAAAGGTGAATTTGCTGTCTGTTTGAACTATGCAAACATTATCACTCCCAGATTCTGTTGGAATTTATGCCACCAGATAATTTCTCCACCTTGCAGGTAGAATCTTTCAGTGCACTTGACCTCAATAAGTGTGTGAAACAATTTTAATAATAAGTCTTTTGGAGTGTGTGTGTATGTGCCTATGTGTATCTTTGTTGGTGCTGTTTCTCTGGAGAATCCAGAATAATAGCATTGAAGTTCAGTGTTTCAGTTATCCCCTGAAACCAATCACTACCCTGAAGTTGAAAGTGGCTGGTACTAGGGATTCAAAATCTTTCAGATCATGCCTAGCCCATCTTTGAACCTGTTCTATAGATGTTTCTCCCTATTTCTTTCAGCAAGGTACCAATGAAACCAAAGCAAACTGTAGAAAGGAAATCCAAGAAATTGTAGAAAGCAAGAATCCAACTGGAACCAAAAGTCCAGAAAAAGAGCAGAAAGATTTATTTTTATTTTCTCCCAGTGAGAAAAGGGACAAGGTAAATTCTTCATACCTTGAATTGCCTTCATCTGCTTTAAGTTGCTAGGTGTCATTTACCTAAGTTTGCCAAACAGTGCAGGTCATTTATAAATAATATTCATTATTTGTTATGGTTTATATCTGGATGTCTCCCCAAAGCCTCAGATGGTCATAAGCAGGGCTTTTTCAGAGGTGGCTGGATCTAGAGTATGTGATGCTGGGATTAAAGGTGTGTATTTACTAAATCAGTCTATTGATTGGCTTGGCACTACCCAAATCCAGGTAGTCTAGACAGAATATAACAGAGGCAGAAAAAAGCTGCTAAGTTTCCCTTCCCTTGCTTAGCAACCTTCTGCCCACCGTGAATGTTTTTTCTCTAACAGGCCTATCTGCCATGCGTCCTGCCTTGGAATGAGAAAATTAAAGACTAAAACCTCTACAAACTGTAAGCCAAATAATCGTTTTCCCCTTTAACTTTGGGTGTCACATTATTTTGTCTCAGCAACAAAAAGAGTAACTAAGATATTATTACTCAAAATACTCAAAATAAGCACTTATTTTAGGGGTAGTAAGTGTTCATTAGTTCATTGTTTCTCTGTTGCCTAACTGTTAACTTGTATATTTATTAAGAATGAATTAGGGGTAGTAGGTGTTCATTAGTTCATTGTTTTTCTGTTGCCTAACTGTTAACTAGTATATTTATTAAGAATGAATTAGGGGTAGTAGGTGTTCATTAGTTCATTGTTTCTCTGTTGCCTGTTAACTAGTATACTTATTAAGAATGAACACAAGATCTTCACTTTGCATAATCCGTTTTCTGTAACTGTGCTTCATAATCAGGTTTTTCAGACTGTAATAAGTGTCTTTATAGGAGCACATGACTAAAAAAAATAGGCTAAAATTCAATACACAGAAACCTCGAGCTCCTGATCAGCTACCAGGAAGATTTATTTTAGCAATATAGCTCCATATGAGGCTGCTCCCTGGTACTTTTATCCAGCTTACAACATTTTATCTTTGTGTGCTGGCTACAGTTAGTCCTAAGAGTAAGATTCATCTTTAGAAACCTTAAGTGTCAATAAATTACATTGGTCTTGCAGCCCCATGCATTCTGAGGAGTATGGGACATTGTTCCAGTAATCTAACAGTTCCTTTAGCCTCTACCCTTAACTGCCCTTTCTGGCCATTTGTCTGTGTCCCGTCTCCAGGCCATACTACATACCACAGTTTTTGCAATAGTATTACAGAAAGCAGGAGAAAAAGAGGACACCTCTAAGGTCAGGGCTACTAAATAAAACTCTGCACAATCTTTAAAGTCTTCAGGGATTTCTGCCTATCCTACCTCCAGAATTCTAATTTCCAGTTGTATAGTGCCTTTTCATTTAGTTCCATTATCTCTGGCAGGTTAACAGAGAATTTCTGAAGAAATATAACATTCCAAGGTGGAGACCTCAAAATATCAACCTTCCATCTTTCACCAAGCCTTGTTTACTTCAGATTTAAACATTTTCCAATTTAGCACATTTGATAAATCATGCTCATGTGCGCTACATTTGCACTGATGGCTGAGTCTTAATCAAGGCCACGGAGCTTCTAATCAAGTTTGGAATTGTGGACTTTAATGTGAACGTATGGTTAAGAATCACCACTTGAGTAACTACTCACTCAACACTGAAGAGAAACTAATGCATCATCATCATCATCATCATCATCATCATCATAATAATAATCTGTAAAACAGCTAATGCAAAGAAAACAAAAATCTATAATATCTTCAGAGTAATAAAAGACACTAAATGTGTACAACAAATATAACATGTGGTAAAAAGATTCAGTTCAATCAGGGATTGGAAACAATCTTTAAAATTAGAAATGGCAGGAGCATAACAACTCAGGAGAAAGACTGGAGGTTGAAGTTGAGAAATTCTCAGAAATGAAGCAAAATGAGACAGAAAATGGAAGAAAGAGAAGGAAATTGGAGGATCAGCTCAGAAAGTCCAACATTAAACTAAGAAGAGAGAAATTAAAAATGAAGTTGGAAAAATTATAAAAGCAATAATAGAGGCTTTTCCAGACTTAGAAATACCAAAACATGGAGTACTCTCTTGTTTATTTTTTTGGAA